GTGGCAGGGGGGGCCAGACCCTCCTCCACCATCAGAACAGCTGCTCAGCCCTTCCCAGCTCGAAGTCACAGTGGGTGCACTTTCAAAGGAAGCCTCTGTACTTTTTCACCCGGTGCTGGTTAAAAATATCACTCCAGATTTTAATAAGGGCTGTCGCTCGAGATATTTCTGTCTGGGAGCGGGAAGTGAAACCCTCTCTCTGGTCACAGCCCATCACTTGATTCTGCCAAAATGAGCTCGAGCGGCCCTTCCCCAAGGCCGGGCAGACTTACCCCTTCCCCAGGCACTCCCACTCTTCCCAGCACTTGGCACTCAAAGCCCTGAGAGCCTGTTACAGCTACAAATGACTCACCCTCTGGGCAACAGGCTAATGTAGAGAGGCAGCACTGCCCAGTGGACAGGCCACTAGACTGGGCCCTCTTCCAAGGACTGGGTTCTCTTCCTAGGACTGCCACCAACCTGCCATGTGATCTTGTGAACCACTTCACCTCTGTTTCCTCTCCAAACCTCTTGCCTAACTAAGCTCTTCAACGCAGTGACTTTCTCTTATTATGTACAGCACCTTCCACAACGAGGCCTCTAGCTGCTATTGCAAAATATAAATAACAAAACTCCCCATCTTACAGGTGAGGGATGGAACAGCTACAGGACCATCCAAACTCAGGGAGTAGAACCAAGAAGTTCTGATGCCTACTCCCCGCTCTGTAACCATAAGACTGCACTCCACTAGCTAGGGATAGAACCCAGGAGTCCTTAATCCTGTAGGGACCTCCTCTTCTCCTTAAATGCACTCCACTCCCATAGCTAGGGATAGAACCCAGGAGTCCTGTTCCCCTTGGGCTAACCTCCAGACCCGACTCCCACTCTCTGGGCTGGGAATTGGGTTCCTGACTTGCACTCCCATAGTCTAACATTTACATTTATAGATGACGCTCTTTATGCACTTAAAAACTATTTTTTATATGTTCTTAAATCCCCCACTAGTGCCCCCGCCCAAAGGCATTTGTCCTCAGCAGGTCAATGTGGAGTCCCCAGACCAATCAACCCGGATTGAGAACCAGAACCAAAAGTGCATTGGAAAAATGTTGAAAAAGCAAACTACAGCCAAGTTTTCAAAGCACTGTCACTTTAGGACAGTCTGATTTGTGTTAACCAAACTTCCCAGCAAAAATGGACCCTGCTGTGAGATGAAACATGCAACCTTTCAGAAGATCAGATTCATTTAGGAGAAGTTGTGGTTGGTGTTAGAAACTGGGCTTATAACGAAGGGTGAGCTTCAAATTACTGGGATGCATGGCTTCTGTAAAGATCATCCTGGCTAAACAGCTTACTCTGAATGTAGGGTTTGTGAGACAGAATGGATATGTAACATCTGAAGGGCCAGGACTGCCCAGAAGGGATGGGCAAAAGAGGCAGTTTGCCCTGGGACCCCTGTTTGAGAGGGGCCCCAAACCTGAGTGGCACTGGGACCTCATGCGCCAGGTTGTAACGCAGGGAGCTGGGGCCAGACCTGTGGGACTGGAGCTGTGATTGTGGGGTTGGCTCGCTCTCCAAGCCCCCCGATCTTCCCTCAATGTTTTGCACCCTTGTTTCATATTTTGCCCTGGGCCTCCAAAAACCTCTGCAGCCCAGGGAATTTTTTCAGTATCAGCCTTTCGGTGTCCCTGTTCGTTACACACACACATGGCTGAAACACGGGGACACTTTACTCTGAGTAACTGGAGGATCCCACCCTGCCTTGCCACATTTGGCCTCTGATTCCTTCCCCACCCACCAGCTCCATCCCTCACGCAGGACCCCTTTGTAGTGTATAGGACAGGGGTTGGCAACCTTTAGAAGTGGTGTGCCGAGTCTTCATTTATTCACTCTCATTTAAGGTTTCGCGTGCCAGTCACACATTTTAACGTTTGTAGAAGGTCTCTTTCTATAAGTCTATAATATATAACTAAACTATTGCTGTATGTAAAGTAAATAAGGTTTTTAAAATGTTTAAGAAGCTTCATTTCAAATTAAATTAAAATGCAGAGCCCCCCGGACCGGTGGCCAAGACCCGGGCAGTGAGAGTGCCACTGAAAATCAGCTCGCGTGCGCCACTTAGCTTCTTTTGGCCTCATCATTCCTCCCTCCCATTGCTTTCTGTTCATTTTCCTCCTATACACGCAGACTGTGTCCAGCGTTAGCAGGTCTCACCCAGCTAACTGCCTCCACTCTTCCCTACCCCAGTTGTTGCAGGGCCTTGGATCCCCACTCACTCCTGTGGTGTACTGAGGACTGTGTTTGAATAGTAAGCCATCACTTTAAGAGCGCGGGGGAGAAAAGGGCTGAGTAAGGGTGCAGCGAGATCCTGGTCCTGTTTGCAATTGCAGGCTAGGGCGGGGGCTTAGCAGCAGAGTGTGTGATCAGAGTCAGTCTGGAAAGTGCCAGGTTAAAGCAAAGTACAATGGGTTATGCCTCACTGCCTTAGGGAGCAGCCTGTTTTCTCTCTGTTTATGGGTCCTTGTGTGTTATTGTTCTGAATTCTAAGAATTCAAGAAGCATTACATTCCAGCATTCCAGCAAGAGCATTTATGTTTTTATCTAATGTCTCTGTGTGTGTGCTGTGAACATAACCACCCTTTCCCTTGACAATGTTACCTCTCAGTCCTGGCACGACAGCCCTCTCCTCTGCCATTTTCCACCGGGGCAGCTCTATGTTTTTGCTGCCCCAAGCACGGCTGTCAGGCGGCTTTCAGCGGCATGCCTGCGGGAGGTCCGCTGGTGCTGTGCCTTCAGCGTCCCCGCCGCCGAAGCCGCGGGACCGGCGGACCTCCCGCAGGCATGCCGCCGAATTCAGCCAGACTGCCACCCTCAGAGCGACTGGCAGGCTGCCCCCACAGCTTGACGCCCCAGGCTTGCGCTTGCTCCGTTGGTGCCTGGAGCTGCCCCTGTTTCCCACTCCTCAGTCGTGATGCTTCAGCTGCTCTAAGGCTCTTCTTCACCTGCCACTTTCTCATTCCCTCTCCCATCCAACCATTCCCAGCCTCTCTCATATCCTCATCCCAAGACTCTGCAGTCCCTCGCAGCTGGGCCTCTCTGTCCCATCCATGTAGGGCACCAGACAGAATACACTGCTGCATTACTAGCACTGACCACTGGATGTCACTGCAGGTGCACACACCAGTCACTGCCAGGGGTTTCTGTGAATGCCAATGACCAATAGCTGGCACTGACAATGTCCTAAAAATTGTACAGGCGGCTTAACATCACATGAGCCAGGAACGGAGCACTAGTAGAACGCACTGGGGGGCTGTGGACTGCAGCGGGATCTGTGCTCCTATCAATTGAGTTTAGGTAGATTTGAGCTCTTGGGTTTTAGCATGGATGGATGAACCCCTGGTGATAAAAATCCACTTGAAACACAATCCTGGAAACTTCTCTGTATTTCAGCAAAGTTCAGGTAACTATTTCATCCAGGGGGAAAAAATCCAGCCCTTTGGTGCTTCCTATTTTACCTTGGGTCGGAAATGCTGAAATACAGTAAGGAAAACTGTTTGAGGATATTTCTGTTTGGAATTCTATCTCCTTGGATACATTTGAACAAGATTTAGATAAATATCGGAACCTCTAAAGATTTGGAATCGGTATAATGAATATTTTATATTCCAGTATTTCCTAAAACCCCCGTTAACATAGTAGGAGACAGTCCCTGCACCCAAGAGCTTGCAATCTAAATAGACAAGACAAAAAAATGAAAGAATTTATACCCATTTTACAGAGGGGAAAACTGAAGCATAAAGAGATTAAGTGACTTGCCCTAGATAACACAGGGAGTCAGTACCAGAGCTGGGAAGTGAACCCCCATCTTTTGAGACCTAGTCTGGTGCCTTAGTCACAAGAACAGCCTTCCCCCTGGGAAAGATTCTCTCAGTAGTGATTATGTCCTCCACAGAGTCAGAACAGTCAGTTCCATAGTTCCAAGCACAGTATCTCATGGTCTCTCTTTACTCTTTCATGATCTATCTATCTATCTCCATACACAGTCCACTATCTATCTATCTATCCCCATACACACCCCACTATCTATCTATCTACTATCTATCTATCTATCCCCATACACACCCCACTATCTATCTATCTATCTATCTTTCATAACCAAGATATCTGGTGTGCAAACAGAGACCCATCATCCAGATGTATCCAGACATGTATACATGATAATTACATCTTCCACTCTAAACTTTTCCACACAAGATGTAAAAACTGAAGGCGTTTTATTCCATACTTCATCCTTCACTTTGTGGGCTCTTCTCTTCCATCGTGGGTAGCATGCCAAACAACACGAAATGTGCAAGGGGGAAGAATTATATATACTCAGACACAGCATCCCTTGCATGGCATCTCCCCAACTGCAACGTTTCACACCTGGATGTGCCACTGAATGTCATGGACTCAGAGCTCAATTGTGCTTGCACTTTTGAGATTACCAGTGACATGGTCACCTTACAGGAAGGAGACTTTCTTTAGGGCAGAAAGGGATTGCAACCAGCCACACCAAATAATAACCATCTGTGGGCAGGTCTCTTGTGTTTCAAGAGAGGATATGCCCAGACCTGGCATTAAAATAAACCATTGAAGTAAAGGGAAAGACTCTCATTGACTTCAATGGGTTTTGTTACAGGGCCATGAGTTTGCTCCACTAATGAGCATGAACCACTAATTGAGGCATCAGGTTTAAAACAAACAAAAGGAAGTGTTTTTTTCACACAATGCACAGTCAACCTGTAGAACTCCTTGCCAGAGGATGTTGTGAAGGCCAAGACTACAACTAGGTTCAAAAAAGAACTTGTTAAGTTCATGGAGGATAGGTCCATCAATGGCTATTAGCCAAGATGGATAGGGATGGTGTCCTTAGCCTCTGTTTGCCAGAAGCTGGGAATGGGCGACAGGGGATGGATCACTTGATGATTCCCTGTTCTGTTCATTCCCTCTGGGGCACCTGACATTGGCCACTGTTGGAAGACAGGACACTGAGCTAGATGGACCTTTGGTCTGACCCAATCTGGCCATTCTTATATTCTTATGCATACTGGAGGAGTCCTTCTGGAAGGCTTCCAAAGAGGTGACACCAAGTCTCGTTAAGTTTTCCTGAAAGGCGGCTCTGAAAGTTCGTGTAACTTAGATCAAGCTGGAGATGGGAGACGGAGCAAGGACTTCTGCAATCCTACAGCTACACAGGTATTGGGCATCGTTCACTCAAGTTCCCTATGATTCTTTTAACCATCAATGCATCTTCCACTTATGCACCTGGCCCAAAAAGCCACGTATTATGACTGAGTGCCATGCTCTCAGTTTGACACATCGGTTGGTGCTCATGGACTGGCTGGAGGACAGCAGTGGGGTGGGGACTGGATGTGGGCAAGTAGGACTCTAGCTTGCTGCAGCCCCTCTTATTATTTGCTGCTATTTAAAATTACTTGGGGGAGTGCGAGTCTGTTCCCAGGGCCGTTAGTTGGACAAGGAAAATCTTCTCTTGTGCCTCTAGATCACAGGTTCAAATCCAGCCTAGGCTGGTAACAAGCAAGCAAAGGCCATCTCCCGGCCCTGCCTTGCTGACTGATTCTGATTGCAAATGTACCTTCAGGAGTGGATCCTATTAGCTCAGTGGGCTGTGGTGTAAATCGATTCTGAGAGGAGAATCGAGACCCTGCCCCCTCTTTGCTCCCCTCCCTCCTCTGTTTTCCTAGCAGCTGTCCCTCCCACAGAAGCTCATCCCTGTTGCATCAAAAGCCTTCTCCCCTGGCTGCCGCTAGCTGTCAGCTACAACCTCTTTCCCCCGGCCAATAGCCCATGCCTCTTCATTTCTCCTTCCCCTTGCTCTTTTGGGTACAGCTTGTGCAAAGGACACCCTATAAAATTAAGCCATATTGGGTTAGTGTCTGGTTCAGTGGGCACATGTCCACTGAACCCATTGTTCATGGAGTATCTCCAGCCTTTTTCCAGCCCTACTGCACTTGAGCCCAATCTCCACCCCTCCACCCTGATTCCCATGGCCTATCTGAAGCCAAGCATCTTCACCCCCTGCCTCATCTTCCGGGCCTGCCATCGGATCACCTTGATGGCCTTCAGGCTGATGTGCATGAGCGTGTCATACTTGAAGACCATCTTGTAGAAGGTGTCGGTCATCAGGGCTCCAGTGGGGTCGGCGTGTTTCAGGGCCGTCATGGGCGTGTAGACGGGGTTGGTCTGGTGGCGGAAGGGCGGCTTGGCGGCGCTGATCACCCTCAGCGTGTGCTGCAAGGGAACCGAGACAGCCCCACATGAGCTCTGTGATGCCCTTAGCTAAGCCGGGAGCAACATAATACTTTACCAGCATCATGCTTTGCAGCTCCATCCCAGAGCTCCCTGTGAACATCAGCCTCACCGTGCCCTGGGAGGTAGGTCAGCACCCATAGCCCTGCAGTGGGCTGTGCTTTTAAGTGAGCGATGCCCCCCTGGGACTCTGGTTGTGCCGCAGGTGGTGGGATCTCAGAGAGAACACAATGAAGGTCTCTGACTGAATCTCTTGGGTTCGTCAGTTGCCTCTATGTCCAATACCCAAACGGATCCAATATGTTACAATCCCCTTTGTGCTGGGGGGAAACTGAGGCTTGGGGAAGGGAAGTGACTCACCCCAGGTCACCGGAGGGTCAGTGTCAGAGCTGGGAACAGAACCCAGGAGTCCTAGCATCCACTCCTACACTTTAACCACTAGACAAGTGGCAGATGTTTACAGTGTACCTGACTTGATGGAGCAGCGGTCTCATCTGACAGGGGGAACCCCCCCGTTTCCTATGCATCATCTCCCCACAGGGCGGGGGAGGAAGTGTTGTCTAAGGATTTGTGAATCATGGGGTAGGAGGCAGCACCATGAATCAACTCAGTGCCTGACACATATCCACCAGTGAGCAAGAGCGTGGGCGAAGGGAGACATCCCAGGCAGGGTTCCTACTGGGGAAAAATCCTGGGTTCCACCCCAAAACACAGCTCCTCAAACTGATGAATCTCATCTTGTGGAGACTAAATCCCTTCCCAACTGACCCCACCCCACCCCCAGCTCCCTGGACCGCTGCTGTGCCTGGGGTGAGTCACACAGAACCCTAGAAATGTCAGGCCAGAAGGGACCTCAAGAGACCAGCAGGTCCAGCCCTCGGTGCTGAGGCAGGATCAAGTAAATCTAGGCCCTCCCTAACAAGTATTTTCCTAACTTGTTCTTAAAAACCTCCAGTGGCACGGATTCCACAACCTCCCTTGGAGGCCTATTCCAGAGCTTACCTACCCTGAGAGTTAGAAAGATTTTCCTAATATCTAACCTAAATCTGCCTTACTCCCATGGTGATGCCACGGAGGGCCATGTGACCAAGTGCAGACCAGGGCCAGGAAGACCCACTGGACTTTGCACGTTGGTAGCAGGGAATCAGAGACCCCCTTTGTGCCTTCCAAACAAACCCAGGCGGGCCCCGCTGGGATTAGTGAAGAGGGAGAGCCAATCTAAACAGGCTCCTGGTGGCTTAGAGATGCTAAGAGGCTTTGGGGCAGGATAACGTGGGGATTAGGGAGGATTATTTTGTGAATGTTGAGGGGGAGGGATTAATTAATTTGCAAACGAGCCGGAAGATATAAACAGAGGGAGGAAATATGAGCTAACGGGACATGACGTTCTTTGTGTAAAAGGAAAGGAGGCCAGATAGTGGCAGTGCTAAATGGAGGCTAAGTGGGATTGGTGAGGAGGTTCTGGAGAAGCTTGGCCTAGAGGGGAGAAGAGTGGATTTGCAGCTTTCAATTACTGGGTTTAGAAACAGGAAGTAACTAGAGCAACTGGTGCCTGTCAGCTGTTGGGCAGCAGAATCCAGATGTTCATGGCGGGTGAGCGTGAGGAAGGCAGAACCAATAATTTGCCTGCCAGTAGTGGTGCTGGAACTAGGGATGCTGCTGCACCCCCTGGCTTGAAGTAGTAATAACAAACACCAAATTCACTTTCTGGACACTACAGTGCAAATAAGTGATGGTCACATAAACACCACCCTATACTGTAAACCTACTGACTGCTATACTTACCTACATGCCTCCAGCTTCCATCCAGACCACATCACACGATCCATTGTCTACAGCCAAGGTCTAAGATACAACCGCATTTGCTCCGATCCCTCAGACAGAGACAAACTCCTACAGGATCTCTATCAAACATTCTTAAAACTACAATACCTAGCTGGTGAAGTGAAGAAACAGATTGACAGAGCCAGAAGGGTACCCAGAAGTCACCTACTACAGGACAGCCCCAACAAATAAAGTAACAGAACGCCACTAGCCATCACCTTCAGCCCCCAACTAAAACCTCTCCAGCGCATCATCAAGGATCTACAACCTATCCTGAAGGATGATCCCTCACTCTCAGAGACCTTGGGAGACAGGCCAGTCCTTGCTTACAGACAGCCCCCCAACCTGAAGCAAATACTCACCAGCAACCACACACCACACAACAAAAACACTAACCCAGGAACCTATCCCTGCAACAATCCCCGTTGCCAACTCTGTCTGCATATCTATTCAATGGACACCATCATAGGACCTAATCACATCAGCCACACCATCAGGGGCTCCTTCACCTGCACATCTACCAATGTGATGTATGCCATCATGTGCCAGCAATGCCTCTCTGCCATGTACATTGGCCAAAGCGGACAGTCTCTACGCAAAAGAATTAATGGACACAAATCAGACATCAAGAATTATAACATTCAAAAAAACAGTCAGAGAACACTTCAGTCTCCCTGGACACTCAATTACAGACTTAAAAGTGGCAATTCTTCAACAACAAAACTTAAAAAACAGACTCCAACGAGAAACTGCAGAACTGGAATTAATTTGCAAACTGGGCACCATCAAATTAGGCCTGAATAAAGACTGGGAGTGGATGAATCACTACAAAAGATAATTTCCCCCATACTGTTACTCACACCTTCTTGTCAACTGTTTGAAATGGGCCACCCTGATTACATTGGCCTCATTACCATTACAAAAGTGATTTTTCCTCCCTTGGTATTCTACTGTTGAGAATAGCCCATTTCCACCTTAATTGAATTGTCTCGTTAGTACTGACCTCCCACTTAGTAAGGCAACTCCCATCTTTTCATGTACAGTGTATTTATACCTGCCTACTGTATTTTCCACTCCATGCATCTGGTGAAGTGGGTTTTAAGCCCAAGAAAGGTTATGCCCAAATAAATGTGTTAGTCTCTAAGGTGTCACAAGTACTCCTCGTTGTTTTTACCAAATACATGGTTTCCATCATCAGCACCCCTACTATAAAAATTGTTCCACCTGCCAGGTGAACTGTGGCCCCCGGAATCCATTCCAGGAGGGCACTGGTGCTCCAGTCCATGTGACAGTGACCTCCTTATTCCAAGTGACCGAGCAAGCTGAGGGAGCCCTCTTTAGCTCACACTTGCCTGCCCAGAATAGGGTGACCAGATAGCAAGTGTGAAAAATCGGGACGGGGGGTGGGGGGGTAATAGGAGCCCATATTAAAAGAAGTCCCAAATATCGGGACTGTCCCTGTAAAATCGGGACACCCTAGCCCAGAATGGATTGCAGCTATGGTGTACTGCTGCCTGGTGTCAATATTAAGACTTAGCATCTCATCATACTGCTGGGGCAAGGGCTCGGACTGTCTCCTGGCACCACCTGTCTGCAGGGGGGGGAAACGTGGAGATTGGGTTGGACAAACACCTGTCAGGGATGGTCTAGCTAATACTTAGTCCTGCCAAGAGTGCAGGGGACTGGACTAGATGACCTCTCGAGGTCCCTTCCAGTGCTATGATTCTATTATTCTATGCCTGCTGCTGTGTGGGCGATGCATAGGGCATGTATGAACAAGGATAGAGGGCATTCCTCTCTGTGTTTGGGGGCACACCCGCGAGTCCTTTTACCTCTGCTATGTCATTGGGAGTCTGCCCAAGGCTGGAGAAAATCGCCTTGGAGTTCTTCAGGTAGAGGTTAGTGAACATGTCTGCCGTCTCAGGGTCTGTCGTGGAGTAATCTGCATTCTCTGCCTCTTCATAGACCTTCGTCTCAAACTCGGTCACCACGGGGCCAGGCTCTATCAGGCTGACGCTGGAAACACAGGCAAGCATAACAGCCCTGTTCAGCATGCAATGGGTCTGGAGATTTTAAGACCAGAAGAGTACACTGTGATTCTTTAGTCTGATCTCCCAGCGTTAAGGTATCATTCTGCCTCAGCACCTCCTACCATGTCATCCCTGGAGGCCAGACCAGCCTGTGTTAATGTCTCCTAGGTAACCACACCCTCTGACATCATGATGCCACATCGGCATGGTACCGTGACAGTGCCCAGTGATGCTGTGTTAACGAAGGGGAGCAACACATCCCTATGTGGCGACGTCCCATCTTCATTCGCTGATGTTGCTCCTTCCCTCAGCGACGTTGCCTCGTGACACCTCGTCTTGCACTGACCGGATGTTAGGACGTCAAAACAGGCCAGGACGATCGCCACGACACAGTCTCCTGGGCAACTTCACTGCAGAACTAGTTACAGGAAAGCTGGCCACACTCTCGGCCTTTAGAACCCAGACCGATCCCACTAGTGCTTTCTGGGGCTCATGTCTCACCGGTTCTCTGCTCCCTCAGGTCATATTACAGGAGCTCTGCCAGGAGCAATGGTAGGGCTAGAATAGCCTCACCAGCTCCCACCAGCTGAGCACAAGTTCCTTCCCATGCCCCAAGCTACCCCTCACCTCTGCATGAGGCACTAGAGGGGTCAGCCTCTCACTCCCAGGCAACTCTGCTGCCCTGTCTCTTCCTCGCGCCTTCCCTTGGTGACTCCCAGCCTGCCAGACAGGCCAGAGGCAGATCATACTAGGACGGAGACTAGGCTAAGGCAGGGGGGTTGGGATTTGCTTCTCCTAAGAAACCAAACCCAGCATGCCCTGTAGTGGCCTCTGATGAACTCTGGAAATTAGCTAGCTCCCAAATGACACCTCCCTGGGGACTGGCCAGTATTTTAAGGGCCAAGCAGCAGTCACCCCCGAGGAAAACTCACCCTAGCCAACCTGATCTGCGCAGACAAGGAATCTCAGCACAAGCCCAGAACAAAGGCCTCAGTATACTCCCGTGAGAAAAGCCTACACGGAAGTTTGGGCAGCAAGGTTCCCCTGCGAATGCCCAGGGGTTATTTCACACACTGAGCCGTGGGGGACTCAGAATATCTCCAGCACTTGTAGATTTAAGATAAAATAATGAATAGGCCAACGCGCATTCATGGGGCTTGGTTCTGGCTGGATGGCAGCTGCCTCGCCTAGCTTTCTGCTAGCATGAAAATGTCATTATTTCATACCCACAGTACGGAGCAAAGGGGGGTGGCAGCTGCAGGCTGGCTGCAAGTTGTGAGCACTCGTCAAGAATGTCCCACAAGACAGGACCTTAGACCTGTGCACGGGAGCCCTGTTGCTTGCCAAATGAATGCTAAGGGTGTATTCCCCTAAGGGGATCTGTTTCCTATTTGAAAGTGGTACTGTGTTGTCTCCGGTTAGTCCCAGGGCTGTATTCCCAGGGGATATTCCAGGGTCTGTTTCCTGTTTAAAGGTATTAATGATTACGAAGGCTAATCCTAGCTGTCTGTTCCTGTAGAGCCCACGCCACCTGCACCCCAGGGATGTCCCCCCACACCTGTGTGGTGTTTTAAGCTAAGACCCTCAGAACAGAGAACGAACCAGCACAGTTAATTTGGAGCCCCGGCTGTGTCTGGAACATCGTAAAGCTGATTCCCGTAACTCACAAGATGTTGAACTTCAGCGCCTGTATGACGAGGCTTTCGCAGAATCCTTCCACGGCAAACTTGGAGGCTGTGTAGATGTCATTGAACATAATGCCTGGAAACAAGAGAGTGATGAGAGGCGTGAGAACAGAGCTGAACCATAGCGGGTGTGTGTCAGTTACGTGAACCCACAGAGGAGTATCTTGCAAGTTGGATCTGATGTGGTGAGTAGCTGGTTGTGGGCAGGGGTTGGAGGGATACAGTGTACACCAGGTAATAGTAGCTACACCGGGGTAGCTATTAATGGGAAGCCGTCTGGGATGACCCATTGACCAGTCATGCAAAGCAGGGTAGTGGCTTTGAATTGCAGACCGCCAGGGATCGGACTGAATGCCCGGCACAGTGCAGGCTTGTTGATTGGTGAGTTAGACCCAGATGGAGTGCGGCGCAGATACAGCTCTCTCAGCTCCTCAGGGGCAGCTTGAGAACTGCTAATTACCAGCCTGCAATGCCCTGATTAGCCTGCTCTGACAAGCACCGACGTTTTCATTCCCTTGCAACTCGGGTCCGTGGAGCCAAGTGCTGGGGCTCATGTGGTCTGGTGGTTGGAGCACGGGACTGAGACTAGGGAAACCTGGGTTCTGCTCCTGAATTACAATGCAGCCCTGGGAATGAGACGCTCGGCAGCTCTGTGCCCCAGCTTCCCAGCCTGTGAAAGAGGGATAAATCTGACCCAACGCTGAGAAAGCCTCAGCTTAAATATTGAGACAGTTCCCTGATCTGTCTCCGTTCTTATGCTGAGCCTCCACACATCGGTCACTACGCTGCACAGCGTGGCCAGTCAGAACGTCACCGCAACGGGGCCAGAACTGACGCCATCCTGTTCCAAAAACCTTAGTTCTCCATCATCTGAGCTAACGGGCACTCTCCCTTACCTCCTGGCAGTATGGGGCCTATGGCACACAGCAAACAGATCTGAATCCCTCCATCTGGGAATAGTGGTGACACCTGCATACCAGCAATTTCATTACAATGTTACCAATCAAGAGGTCAGGATCAGTGGTGCAGGAGGTAAATGGGGAGTGGGGGGGGGGCAGGAACCCCCCCCAGGCTTTTGCACTTGCTCAAAGTTCCATAGGCCATGGAGCCGGGGGAGGGCCACAACCTGACCACTTTTAAGCAGTGGCCCTGTACTAAATCAGTCTGGCTGCTGCTGGAGCAGTCCGGATCGTCGCGCTGGCTGCGTGGTCACAACACAGAGTGAGGGATGGGTCAAATGATGCAGTGACCTGGAACATAGGGAGCCTGTCCCTGTACCGCGGGGTGCAGGGAAGTCTGCTGAGAATGTGAATGCTGACAGCACCGGCTCATGCACTGGGTGGGTCAGAGAGAGGGGAGACTCCCTGACTGAGAGGGACCCATGTCCCTTAAGGCGGAGGTAGGAGGAGATGAGCGGGGACTGGAACAGGGTCCCAGCCGGTAGACCAGAATTCTGCCCCCTTCCCCCCCAAGAAATGTCTGAATTGGCACTGCTGGTCAGGAGTCTTTTTTGGGCGTGTAGCTTTTTGTGTAGCCAGTAGAAGCCCTTACTGGACTTTATTCAGTGTGTAAAGTCCCAAGAAGAGAGAGGTCACAGGCAGGATAACACATGTGGACTCTGCATAATTCTCCTCTGTAATTAGATTTGCATCAGGCCGATAAGGAAGTGCTTCCTGACACTTGTACTTCATACGGGATGGTTATTTTTATCCCCCAGACTTTACTGTAAACCCACAAAGTGCCTCACCACAGCTGAAAAAAAAAAAACCCAACCAAAACAAGACAACCCCGCAATCAGCTAACTCAGCGGAGCACGTAACACATGGAAAGCTGCAAATTAAAGCAGAAATGGACTCGCCATGGCAACGGGAGCATGGAAAGTCTCAGGGGGTCTGTAACAGTGGATACTGGCTCCAGTCACATGACAGTGGTACTGAGCGGGGTTTCCCTGCTCTAGGCCGAGATGCTGCCTGCATCCCTCTGTATAAACAGCTGTGCCTCATCGCTATGCTCTGGTCTTATTCCAGACCTGTCCATCGTTGGGGGATTTTGCACCCTTTGCCTGAAGCAGCTGTCACTGATCATTGGTGGGGATGTGCGACTGGGCTAGATGGACCTAGAGTCTGATATAGGACAGCAACGTCTATAGCCTTGAAATCGCCCAGGTACCTACCTTTTCACTGTTATGAATTTATTGGTGTTCCAGGGATGTGTAGACACCGTGACTGAGATCAAGGCTCCGTCGTGCACATACACCTAGTAAGAGATAGTCCCTGCTCCAAAAAGCTTGCATACGAAAGACAGACAAAAGATGGGAGGGGAAACTGAGGCACGGAGCGATGCCGTGACTGGCCCAAGGTCACCCAGCAGCTCGGTCGCAGGCCTAGGAACAGAATCCAGGAGGAGCCCTGATTCCTAGCCCTGTGCTTAGCCGCCAGGTCAGTGGCGGCTGCTGTAGAGCAGAGTCACAAGTGGACTGGGCCCTGTAAATGGAACCAGGTCCAGCCCACCTGTGTCTCACGAACAGCCTCCTGACGGGGCCTGAGCGAGGCAGCTGGTCTGTATAGAGAGCCAGAGAGGGAGAAGCGACAGGAAGGAAGCTGTAGCGGAGCAGCAGTGAGCAGGTGGCTCCTCTCTGAGGACCCCGGGGGGGGGGGGGGGGGGGGGAGAAAGGAGCTTGGGCCTTGAAGCCAAAGGCAGAGGAAGCTGTAGAGAGGTTTCAGAGAATGACAAAGGCTCCTGCAGCAGGCACCCCGAAACACCAGGGAAGTTTTGAGATAGTACCTCAGGGAGTAAGGGCCGCATTCAACTTATAAGTCTGGTGGGGGGGGGAGCTATTTTGCGTGTGTTTATTTTGAGCTTTTTGCCAATAAAAGCAGACCCTGAGGAGAGAGATTATGGAACAGCGAGATGCCTTTTGGGAGTTATGGAGGACTCCAGGAGGGGAAACTGAGGCAGAGTGCAACAGAGACCCCCCCCCCAGGTCTTGAGGGGGCACTCAGGAGGCGGCTGTCCCTGTTACTATCACGTAAACAAAATCCACTTTCTCTACAAGCTAAAGCAGCCGGGTCCCCAGCTGGTGCAAATCGGTGTCATTGTCGGTACCCATGTACCCATGTCGGTACCCATGTTCCGAGGTTCTGGCCTGAGATGTGTAGGGGCCTGACTTTTGGCCTGCTCTCGGGGCTTGCCAATAGTTGCCTTCTTGTGACCTCTGCTCTGGGTAAAGGGGCCATGTTAGCCTGCCGGCCTCAGCGCTAGGTGACGGAGAGTGTGACGATAAAATCTTTTCCCCCTGGCCTGCCCCCTCGGAGCGGAGAGAGTTAGTCAAATCCTCACAAACCACAGGCTGAGGGGAGGCTGCGCCTCTCATTCCTTTGATGTCATGCAGCTGAGCCCTGGCTCCCGCAGGTGTGCTGGTGTGGCTGGGTGACAGGCCAGGAGTTCCGACTGTAGCAGCAAATACCATCTGTGACGTCCCTGCGTGGGACCCTGCCGTCAGGTGCTCTTGCTCCAGAGGCGTGAGTGGGCCCCCCCTCCCCACCAAAGAGCTTGCTGTCTGTTTGGCACCAGGTTCCAAACACCTTTCATCTTCTAGTGGGGGGACAAGCGGGAGATGATCCCAACCTACAGACTGACCTTCCCATTTAATGTAGCCTCTCTCAATGGGCCTTTCCCTCCCCAGAATTCCTCCTTCCACCCTTCCTTGTTTACGAGGAGCCAGTCACTAACAAAGGGCTTGGATCCCTGATCCGTCCAGCTTCCCATGTCAGGTCTACCCATTCCCCACCCTGAAAATGACTGATTCGATGGCTGTATTTATGTTGATTTAAATAATAACCAGAAAGATGCCTGTCCAAGAGGCTAGGCCACCTGTCCTGTGTTAACGCTACACTGAAATCTCAGCAGTATTAAATGATCAACACAACTGGAACTGAGCCTGTCACCTACAGAAACTTCTTTCCACCCCATGATCATCAAGCCCTCAGCCTTCTCAGAAAAATCCCTTTTTGTGGTTCTACCACCTAATGCGGTGGATTAATTTAACGCTAGTTTGGGGCAGACGAGACTCTTAAAAGTGAGTAATTTAAATGGTAAGTTCCTTGGGGCAGGGACTGACTTTCTGCTCTGTATTTGTACAGCACCTAGCACAGTCTATGAGATTTTTCACCTAATCACCTGACTTAAGGAGTTGGGGCTTTGAGAAAAAACATGAAATAGCACAAATCTAACTCATAAGTGACACTTAGGCTCGTGAGTCTCACACTGTGGTGAAACAGGAGGCATGAGTGCAGGGAGACTGGATCTCTGCTCCAAAAACTTTAACAACATTAACGCTTTACAGCTGTAATGTATCAAATAGAAGATTAAAACTCCACAGTACAACTGGAAAAATCAGGTCCTTTTTAGTGATAGACAGACACAGAAACTGGCATCCTTATGTGGTCGCTGCCATCTTGGATGACACACCAGGAATTGAACTGGGAACTCCACTACTAAAACCATAAACTTGCTACCATTAGAGCTGAAGACATAGGTGTAGTTTGACTTCTGTATTTGGGCGGGGGGCAGCTGCAGTCAGGCCAATGGGGCCACATGGGGTGGGGGGGCAAATTCCTCACCTACCTTGCAGGCCCATGACACTGCTGATCACCACAATGTGCCCGCTACGCCTCCTCTTCATATCGGGCAGCACCTCTTTGATCATCCTCACCACACCAAAGAAGTTGGTCTCCATCACACCCTTCATCTCCTCGATGGTCTGGCATTCGATGGGTCCAATCATCCCCACCCCGGCGTTGTTAACTGCAAGATATGGACAAGCAGGGTAGCATCGCCATGGGGCCCTCTTGCATTGAGTTAGCTTGGTTTGCACGGGCTTGACCGTTAGATGCCCACATGTAGTCTCAGGCCGTGTCTGCACACAGGCTTGCACTGGTGCGAACCCCTGTGTGGCTGCTCTGATCTCAGTTTCGGTGGGTTATTTTGGTTTAGCTTAGGATTTCATTGCCCAACACCTGCTTTCAGGCGCGTTGGTGCGGCTTTGCCAACTCAAGTGCACAATATCACAAATAAAGCCCCACGAAATCAGGAGGGTTTTTAAAAATAAAAATCAATTCTAGGTTCTTCCTCTTCACGGTTTTTGAGCCCTTTCGGGTTCATGCTGTGCTCAGTGGCCACGAGGGCTGGGACCTTACTTTGAAAGCCGAGATGCTCATCTAATCCTGTGAATCCGGGAGATGGGGCTTTAAGAAAACACATGGTAAGACTCCTGATTGCGAGAGTTGGACACACTGTTGGTGTGAGTCTCTGGTTACAGGCCCGCATAACAACTGTCAAGCCCCTTGGGGTAGGGGTGCAACAAGGAAGGGGAGTCAGGCCTCCACTCCTATGGCCACTGACCAGACGATGGAGGGCCGTCCTGGCCAAATTTAAGAGAGTGGCTTTGTGACCCAGCGAGCCAGGACGCAGTGCCACTCACTCAAATTTGACCCCAGCTGGCCCTCCCTCAAGGCCAGGCAGGTAACCTGGGCCCCTTCCTTAGTTAGCAACATTCTGGTTGCATCCCTAGAGATCTTTCTGTTTGTGAGTCTGGACGGGCTCCAGGCTTTTAACATGCCTGCCTTCCCAGTGCTGAATGATTGCAGACTAGCTTCCCCAGGGGTCTAGCAAGCAGCACAATCTGGAGTGTACAACCAGGCCTGCTCCTCGGGCTGGAGAATCCCTGTGTGAACCTGGCCCAATCCGGCTCCCAGCCCAGCTCTGACTGGGCCAGTGGCATTGTAGTTAATGGGCCAGGTGGGTGTGACTGAGACGAGCTGCCACCACTTCCACATTAGACCCTGGTTCCTGCTGTGTCTCCACTCCCTCGCCCTGCTGAAGGCGTGAGCCACAACCCTGGCTGGGCAGCACAAGAGCCGTCCAAGAGGCTACAACTGGGCAGCGGCTCCACATTGCTCCGTAATCCCAAGAGAGGGAGTCCGGGCACGTGGGTCGCTGACCTACATAACTTTCACAGATCAGCCTTGGTGTGATCTGTGCAAGCCGGGAGCAGCAAATGGGTCAAGGGCTCCTGTGATTAAAGACGTGACTCAGTGCCAGCCAAACTCCCGGCAGCCTCTGACCCAGTTCGAGGGCTGAGAGCGCTGCTAAAGCATCTTTCCCCCCCAGCGGAGTTAAAGGTCACGGTCCTGTACGATGCGCAGCGGAAGTGGGGAGGGCAGACATGCATAGGGCACAGGGAAAGAAGAGATGTGCATGGGGACAGCAGACATCTATAGGGGAGAAAAGGACATGCAGAGAAGTCCAGGGGCCCAGAAGAGGACACACACATATATACAGGGGATGGCATATAAGGGTGAGAGGGAGAATGAATATGCAGAGGGGAAGCTCATAAATCACAGACATGTAGGGCTGGAAGGGCAGTCATGAAGTCCAGCCCCCTGTGCCGAGACAGTGACCAAGTGAACCTACACCATCCCTGACAGGCATTTCTCCAAACTGTTCTTAAAAACCTCCAATAATGGGGGTTCCTCAACCTCCCTTGGACGCCTGTTCCACAGCATAACTACCCTTATGGTTAGAAATTTCCCCCTAAATCCCCTTTGCTGCAGGTTAAGCCCATTACTTCTTGTCCCACCTTCAGTGGACACGGAAAACAATTGGTCCCCACCTTTCTAACAGCCCTTTGCAGACTGTTCTCAGGTCCTCCCCTCGGTGTTCTTTTCTCTAGACTAAACATGCCCAGTTTTTTAACCTTTCCTCACAGGCCTCTGAACATTGTTGTTGCTCTCCTCTGGACTCTCTTCAATTTATCCGCTTATTTCCTGAAGCGTCGTGCCCAGAATTGGCCACAGGACTGATGCTGAGGCCTCACCAGTGCTGAGCAGAGTGGGATGATTATCTACCCTGTCTCACATGTGACACTCCTGTTAATGGGATCATATTAGCCATTTTCACAGTTGCATCACACTGTTGACTCATGTTCCATTTGTGATCCACTAGAACCCCAGATGCCTTTCAGCAGAGCTACCGCCTAGCCAGTTATTCCCCATTTTGTAGCTGTGCATTTGATTTTACCTTCCTCAGTGTAGTACTTTGCACTTATTTTAATTGAATTTCATCTTATTGATTTCAGACCAGTTCTCCAATTTATCAAAGTCACTTTGAATTCTAATCCTGCCCTCCAAAGTGCTAGCAAGCCCTTCCAGCTTGGTGTTGTCTGCAAATTTTATAAGCCTACTCCCCACTCCACTATCCAAGTCATTAATGAAAATATTGAATATAGTAACAAACCCAGGACTGGCCATGCGAGACCCCATTAGATACACCCTCCCAGTTTCACAGCAAACCACTGATAACTACTCTTTGAGTATGATCTTTTAATCAGTTATGCACGCACCTTATAGTAATTTCATCTAGACCACATTTCCCTAGTTTGCGTATGAGACTGTCATGTGGGACTGTGTCAAAAGCCTGACTAAAATCAAGATATTTCACATCTACTGCTTCTTCCCTATCCACTAGGTCAGTAGCCCTGTCAAAGAAGGAAATTGGGTTGGTTTGGCATTATTTGTTTTCGACATTATTTGTTTTCGATTTATTTAAGAGTAGGTTAGATAAATGTCTATCAGGGATGGTCTAGACAGTATTTGGTCCTGCCATGCGGGCAGGGGACTGGACTCGATGACCTCTCGAGGTCCCTTCCAGTTCTATAATCTATGATTCTATGATTCTATGACAAATCCATGCCGGCTATTGCTTATAAACCTATTAACCTCTAGGCCAGGGGTTCTCAAACTGGGGGTTGGGACCCCTCAGGGGGTCATGAGATTATTACATGGGGGGTCGTGAGCTGTCAGCCTCCACCCCAAACCCCGCTTTGCCTCCAGCATTTATAATGGTGTTAAATATATAAACAAGTGTTTTTAATTTATAAGGGGGGGTCACACTTAGAGGTTTGCTATGTGAAAGGGGTCACCAGTACAATAGTTTGAGAAGCACTGCTCTAGGCAGGGGTTATCAACTTTTTTTCATTTGCAGATCCCTAAACAATTTCAAATGGAGGTGTGGATCCTTCTGGAAATCTTAGACATAGTCTGCGCACCCCCAGGGGTCCGTGGACCACAAACCGCTGCTCTAGGTGCTCCCAAATTGATTGTTTAATAATTTGTTCCAGTATCTTTCCAGGTATCGAAGTTAGGCTGACTGGTCCGTAATTCCCTAGGTCCTCTTTGTTCCCCTTTTTAGGTAGATCTGTGTAGGGGAGGTCAGGACTTGTAGGGGCATTGGGGAGCACAGATATATATGGGAAGAGCAGATAAGCACAGGGGATAAGGGGAAGAAATGTGGTGGGAGCCCCATGCAGGGGGCAGCAGCCGGGGCTTGGGCAGAGGCAAGCAGGGGGCCTCACTCAGTATGTCGACGTGCCGGTTGGGGATGCTGTTGATACAGGTGATGATGGATCGCTCGTCGCACACGTCCAACTGCCTGATCTCCAGGGTCTTGTTGAGGGTGACGCCGGCGGCCGCTTCCAGGCACCCCCTCTTGCCCAGGTTCCTCATGGTGGCAATGACTGTAACACAGAGCAGCCGGTTGCAGGGACTGGGGCTTGCTGAAGATGGACAGACCCCGGTGATGCTGCAGGGCTGGGGGCGGGGAGGGCGGGTGTAGAGGGGGCCGCGATACATGACAAGCTTCTCCTGCTATTCTCACTGCAGCAGGGGTTGGTCCTGGGGAGCAGCCCGCGAAGGCAAATCCCAGGGCCATGCACCCCAGAGGCTGCAGGGGGTTCAGAGAAGGTGTGGTACCCTCGGCTCAATGCAGGGACTCATGGGCCATGCGGCTCCTAGTAGGTGTTCTGGCATCATGGGCCCAAATGGAGGGAGGGGACTCCAGACTTGGCTTGTGTCTCGTTGCCCCAAGCACATTCTTGCCCAAGGCTGCTGCAGGCCATGCAGCCATTCCCTCCTGAAAAGGCCTTCGGGCCTGTATCGACCTGGGGAGATGGACCAGCTAGTCGGGGTTAGCCTCCCCCCCCATGTCCTAAAGGAAGATGGCAGTCACGCTAACTCAGATGCAGGCCACTGGGTCAGATTCTCCCCCTCTCCTTACTGGGATCCCGGCCACTGGATCACATTTAAGGTGCCCAAACCATCCTGGGAGGGGAGCAGGTAGGAGGAAGGCAGCTACTCCCACTCCCTTGTCTTGACCCACTTGCGTTCCAAGCTGGGGCCCCTGCCCCAGAGCAAAGGAGCAGGGGAAGGACCCATCACCCTCTCCATTTCTTTCCCTTTGGAGCAAACTATTTATTTTACCACCTCATATTTAAAGACTTCTCCTGTGCCCCGCCACTCCTGCAACATGTTCCTAGTTCCTCACCCCTTCCCGGCTGTGTCCAATAGGCTGGGTACCAAATGCACCCACAGGTCGGCTGCATGCCGGCACAGAAAGGCCCCAGGACAGGCGAGGGAGCTGGTCAGCTCTTCTTTCCCCATCCTGCTGCAGTGCTCAAGACTTGGCGGCATGGGGCTGGGAGATGGACTCTGCCGTTCTGGGCGTGGGGGTGGGAAGGCACAGCCCCTCCCAGCTGCAGGGGAGTCGTGGGTCTCTCATGATCCCAGCCGTACCAGCTCCGTCCGGGGACAACCTGGGCATTCATGCCCGTGTGCCCAACACCCTGGGCACATGTGGGAAGCGCTCACCTTTGAACCGCTTCTGTTTGTCCCGGGCCATTTTCACAGCCAAGGCCAAGCCAATGCCGGAGGAGCAGCCCGTTATCAGCACCGTCTTGGGAGCCATGCCGTTCCCAGGAAAAGCGGGGCACCGGGGAGGTCTGGTCTGGATGAGCCGGGTAGGCGCAGCAGGGGTCCCTCAAAATCCTCCTGCCGAAGGAGAACTCAGAGTGTTGCTGTCAGGCTGGAAGTTCTCAAGGGGTCTTGGCAGCTCCCAGATCTGTCTTCACATCCTGCTCCGACCTTCCTTCCACCCCCCTAATAAAGGATGGCCTGGCTCCTAACTGGCCAGCGCCCAAGACCGTAATCTTCTGGGCCTTGTTAATCTCAGGATGGATTTGCACGATGATTCCTGGCTAATCTCGTCTGGCTGCCACCACACGTGATGCACAAAAAGTGCCACTTGGACTAAGGCGGCAGGCAAAAACCTCTTACCCAGCATGCCTTGCATTTGGGCCCTTGTCCAAGTGAGCACTGTGTAGGAAGGTCACGGATTGGGTCAGAGGCAGGGCAGTTAGTTAGCACAATGGCAGCACTGTGTGAGGTGGGAGCAGGGTGCTTTGGTGGGATGGGAGGGTGGATTTCTGTTCTTCCGGATAAAATACCTGGAAGATTCTCGGCCGAGCCGTGCCAAGCGGGTGCAAAGAGCCCTCTTCAGGCCATTGCAAACCTCCTTGGTTTTGCATTGCCATGAACCAGCCTGAAATGCTGCAGGGGGCTGATTCCTGGGCTTCTCAGGGCGGCAGACCAGGGCTGTGTTGGTCCCATGGGAACAGCCGCCCTTCTGCTGGCAGGCAACTGCAGGGAGTCGGTTAGTGAGCATGGCAACGAATGGGCGCAGTGAGAGCTGAACATACCTGAGCCCCTCTCCGACATCCATAGATTCAGCCTCGCAACCCCTGCTCTGCGAGGTAGGAAAAGCATCATCCCCATGGGACAGATTGGTGAACGGAGGCCCAGAGAGATGAGGTGATTTGCCCAGGGTCACAAGGAGTCTGGGGCAGAGCTGGGAATTTAACCTGGGTCTCAAGTTCCAGCCCTATCTGGGGGTGACTTTGCCCAAGGTCATCCCGAGAGCCAAGCATAGAACCCAGGAGTCCTGGCTCCTGATCGCACCTCCAGGCCCCGCCCTCCTTCAGCTTAACCCTTCCCTGGCTGTGGCCTACGTGAAATTTCCCACGGAGTTTGACGCTGCATGCAGATCAGAAGTCAGCGCCAATGCGGGAAGGGGGCTGGATCCCAAACTCCCCCGACCCATCTCCCCACCATATCGCCGTAAGGAAAGCAGAGCAGCCAGGTGTGAAGTAGACGAGATTTATTTGTAGTGAGAAGATTTTGGAGTAGATATAAATAGAGATAAATCTGTCTTCTTACAGGGCTTGGTGCTAATTTGGGTTATTTTCCTCTTTTTTGTACAAAATAAAAGCAAGGATATGAAAAAATAACATTTATTACCACTTGTATAAAACACATCACAGTTCAACTGGCCTCTCAGGTATTTACAACAGAGATAGATCCGTCCTCTTAGCAAAACCGGGGATCCTTCTAATACGGCAACACCGCACCCCTGGCTGGGTTAGCAGCAGCAGGTGGTGAATCTGGGGATCTTAATACCTGTCACTACTGCCTGAGCTGAAACCCCCACCTCTGTTAGCCCTGCCAACAGCAGGCTTTGTATGTGGACTAGCTGCCACTGAAGGGGACAGAGCTCCGCACCGAGGGGGTCACATCTGTCTCCCCCATAGGGCTCTTTGGGGCTATGGGGGTTGGTAGCACCCCAGGCAGTCCTGGCTTTGGGGGTCTCTGGCGTGTTGAGTTCAGTGCTTGCAGCAGGTGCAGCGCACAGAGATGGGTTTGGAAGGACAGTCGGCATCTAGGCAGTCGGAGATAGAAACATACTCCCCTCCCACCCCTGACTTTCCAGACCTGTGCACAGCCCCATCAACGGGTCCTGGCAGCCTACACTGCAGAGAGCGGAAGCCCCTTTGGGCTGACAGGAAGGGACAGGGAAAAGCCCAGCTCTTTCCTTATTGTGGCTTTTTCACTTGTCTGCTCTCGCCCTTGACACCTGCCACCAAAGTCCCCTTTTCTCGCCCTCTGCCATGTCCAGAGCAGGGCTTGGGACCAGCCCCCAGCATCTGAACAAGGCCCAGCTCAAAGCATGACCCTGGACTCCCTTTCCCCACCTGTGGCTCAGCCTGAGAGGACCCAACTGCACCTTGATTCCCATGGCCCTAGGCAAATGGCAGAGGAATCTCTGTATGAGTCACCCTAGCTCCTGGCCAGCCCCTCCGCCTCGTTCCCAAGGAGGGACTTCCTCCTGGAGGATTGGGAGCAAGGCCAGCCGTGTTGGCGGAACGTTATCTACTATCAATATTGATGTCCGCCCCTCTCCCCCACCCGGGCCTCTTCATGCGGGCTGATAATCCGTGGCTAACCCCAGCCAGCACCAATACAGCTGGGTACTGTTTCTTGCTGTGACCGGGCCTGCCGGCTTCACCCGCCAGCTCAGAAAGGGACACGTGGCCACTCCCACACAGGGGGCACGTGCGTGGGATCTGCACTACTTATCAGGGTCCGCTGCCACCGACGTACAGTTCTCCATGGCCGGGGAATGGTGACTGCCCTCAGGCAGGTTGCTGCTATGGGGAGCAGAAAGGTGGGCCTCAGTCCGTGCACAGAAGGGTCCGAACTCCGACCCCCAGGGAGGCCAGTGGTCTAGGTTAGAAGGAGCCACTCTGGCACTGGTCTGACGGAAAGAAGTGGAAACCGGAAGAGGAAAGCCACCCCCCGGGCTCGGCTCCTAGCAGTCACTGGCCAGAGAGGTGGGAACCCAGGGGAGAAAGTGCACGAGTGGGTAGATCTTCCCAAGGATGAGGAGCGCCGAACCCAGCCAAGAGGCTGCAGGGGCCCAGGGAGGAGGGCGCAGAACAGAGCATCCAGGGTGCAGGGAGAGTGCTGGGACATACCAAACGGGACCATCCCCAAGCTCCCGGCTTGGCTTCCCAAGGGCACTGAGAATACGACCATTAACACTGAGTAGCTGGTGGGGAGGGAGGAGAAACACTAGGATCAAAACAGATAGAGCATATTGGGGCAGAGCTGGGGGTGCAGGGATACAGGTGAGAAGGGGAATACAGGCATGGAGGGTTACAGGACAGAGGGATATGGGGCAGAGAGAGATGGGAGCGGGGGTACAGGGGGTGGGGCAGCAGTGAGCCGAGGCTGTGAGCTGGTGGAAGCACAAGGGCGAGGACTCCCTTTGGAACGGTGATTTTCGGTCCTTCGGGCTCCTTGGGCGCCAGGGGTGTCATCCCGGCCTCTCACCCGGCTGGTGCTCACTTGACGGGGCTGAGTGGTGACTGACACCCCAGCAGTGGGTGGAGCACGAGCCAGGTCCGTCCCCCGCGGCCGCCGCTGTCCTGGCCGAAGTGGGGCGAGGGGCAGAAGTTTGAGTTGATCCTAGTCCTGCTGGCGGCCCGTTGGCCGTGGCCCGTCGCAGAGCCCTGCCGCCCACCAGGGGCCTGTCACAAGGCGACGCAGGTGCAGTAATGTCTGAGCTTGCAGGGCAGAATGCCCCGGTTGATTTGGTGAAACTCCACCAGCTGGATGAGATCCGCAAAACGCGTCTGGCCATCGTCCATGGTAAAGTACAGCTGCCCCTCTTCCTCGCTCTGCAGAGAAATGGGGTGGGAAGGTGTGTGCTTAGCTCTCCTGGCCCATGCTTGGACAGCGCAGGCTGGGAACAGCTGCCCTACGAACTTATTACGCTATTGCTGCAGGGACCTCTCACTGGAGGGACTGGAGTGGGAGCGTTCCCAAGGTTAGAGTTGTCTTATTATAGGTCTCTCTTCAGGGACTCACACAGGGAGAGGCTGGGAGCTCCCCATAGCCAGTGCTCCTGCCCCACTCCCCACAGCACCTCCTGCTGGGAGAGGCTGGGGCTGGAGTAGCTGTGAGCGCCCCACGGAGGCAGTGCTCCTGCCCCACTCCCCACAGCGCCCCCTGCTGGGAGAGGCCAGGGCTGGAGCATACAGGAGCTCCCCCCACAGCCAACACTCTTATCCCTACAGCTCCCTACAGCACCCCCTGCTGGGAAAGGCCCAGGCTGGAGTAGCTCCACACCATTCCTATATGTGAATCTCCTCCCCATGGGTTTGCTCCTTGAGCAAGTTCATAAAGCACCCCCACCCATATTGCTGGGAGGGCACAGTCTGTGGTAGCTGGGGCCGGGGAGGGGCACTTACTGGCAGGATGAGATAGTGCTTGACTTTCTGTAGGTGGCACAAGGACAGGACGTACCCCTTGGGGTTCCGCTGGCTTTCCCGCACCAAAAATACCCTAAAAAATCAAAACAAGAGAGGAGGCTGTTACCAACACGCTGCTGCTGCCCACTCAACCTCTTCTGTCCATCAGGGGGAGCCCAGAGCAGCATCTGAACTTTTCAATCAGCTCAGCTGAAAACAACACAGCCGCACGTGGAATGCTGTTGAAAGCAGCCAAACTCATGCCATGACCAAGGGGTACTGTAACCCTTTGCAGTGAGAGCTGGCAACGAACTTGTCCCAGACAGTGGCCTGTGCTGGATAACTTGAAGGCATAAAATCCTGCCTAATTGCACAGCCCTGTCTCAAGGAGGGACATTCCCTCCTGACCCCAGAACTGATGGGTGCCCTGAAGCATGAAGATCAAAAGCTTTATTATTTTATCCCCTCTAGCGTCGCTGCTGGTGCTCATCTTATCCACAAAAGCAGTGCTGCCAACCTCAATTATTCAAAAACTCAAGTCAGGCCCCAAAAAGCATGAGATTTATTTTAAAAATAATGATTTAAAAAAAAAATTAGGGGTTTCTTATTTGCCTTCTTGGTTTTGAGCCTGTAGTAGGGGGTCACATTTTCTCTGCAACCACAATGGCTAGAAACTCACTTTAAAAAAAAAAGCTGAGATTTTCATGTCATTACATGTCTCCAGAAGCCTGGGCTTTAAGGAAAATGCCTTTAAGGAAACTTTACGGAAAATATTGTGAGACTGGGGATTAAATCGCTGTCCAAGTGTCTTTGGAACATT